AGTGGTGCTGATCACTGGAAGAACTGCAGTTCACTGATTGGCTCAGATACTCACTCCAGAACATGCAGCCACAGCTTTCTTGTGGGATGGAGTTGAATCTTAGACCAAAAAAAAAACCAAGGACACTTTCAGAAAAGCGTGTCATTGACCCGGGAAAAATCACCCTCACACCACCAGTGTCACTGCGTATCAGGGATATGAATGTCCTGAGAGTAGGACCCTAAAGTAATTATGGATTTAAGAAAAGTAAGTAAGATAAGGAAATAAAATGCATTTTCAATTACCCAGGAATATTTTGGCTCAAAAGTGGAGAAAGATATAGAAGAGACAGACATGGGGGGGGGACAATGTAGACAAAATGCCAACCATATGGGAGGATGCAATCTCCTGGAGCAATTCAATTTTGTCCTTGATTTAGCAGCGGCACATGAAGGCTGCAGGAGTGGCTGCATTAACATATGCTCTACTTTAATGAGAGAAGGACAGGTGGTGAGCATTTGGGGTATTATTTCCACTGAGGCTGCCACTGGCTCATTGGACTTTATGGCAATACTTACAAAAAATGAAGTCAATGCAACAACCGTATTTCGGTACCTTCCGTACCTTTCTTCTGTGGATATGTTGCTCAGGTTTAATGTTAAGTCAATTTGAAAAGAACAGAAAAGTCTGCATTTACATGAAATGTGAATCTGAAGCTCTTCTCTTCTTAAAATGTCATCTTCGGGCATACACAGCACTTTCCTACTGTAAGCATCTTATTCAATTGTTTTAAGTAAGCACATGGCGTCTCATGTCGTCATGGTAGAAATCAGAGCAGAAGCTTGTTTTGGCTCTGTCTTTTAGATGGGAACTATCATAATAAAGACCAAAAAACCCATTTGTGGAAGCAGATCGGCCGAGCGGACCGTGAATCTTATAGCCGGGGACTGTTGTTCCTTTATCTCCATACACAAATTGTCCTTGCTATACGGCTGTCAGAGGTAGCGGTGAAGAGCAATAAGCTTCTATGGTAGTTGTTCAAGGTAAAAAAAACAATGCACAAACATTTTTAAATAGTTGCACAATTATATATCAAAAGTCGAGAGAGACTTGTTGGTCTTACAAAAGCGGTAATAGGTGGTCAAGATATCTGTCATTGGAACATTAATAAGGACATGCTGGATGGAGGCTCTATCCAGTGCCCTCTGCCAGAAAAAAACGCCATGAGTGTAAAAGCCCTGTATACTGAGTTTTTAGCATGTACTGTATAGAGCTACTCATATACAAATGGACTCTCAAAGTGTCCTTTTCAGAATTACTTAATATTGCTCTTTAGACCAGAGTGGTTGCTTGTATGAATCACAGTAGCCCGGCCTCATCTGAAGGTCAGCCATATAGCGGCTGGATCAAACAGGAGGTCCACATAACAAAGAGCCTGATCATTATTCACTGCCGAGCCACCGGAGAGCAGCGATGCTAAAACCCCAACATTTATTATGGCTGCCCTTGACGAAGTCATTGAGAATAATTAAAATGACACCAAGCAACTTTCTGGGTCTCAATGCATGAGCGTGCATTTACATTCAGTGACACTTATGTAAAGCCGCATTTAAATCATTGGTGTTCAAGGACATGCAGGCAGTCTGAATCAAATCTCCAACCATCCACTTACAGTACAGGGCAAAACTGGGACACCAGGCTACTACACTGGCCTGAGCATACCAACAAATGGGCACAAAACACATACACACACTCAGCCTACCTCAAATGCCCCATCCGTTCACATAGAGTAGCACTGTGTGTAATGAACAATGAGCCTAATCGCTCTGGTTAAAAACAAGTGTTGGACGAAGATTAAGAAGAAAATCTATCAAGCTTCCATAGAGCAGCAGTAATCAAAGCCTCGGCTGAGAGCTCTGGTTTGTTTTATGAAGACAGAACTACACCAGCAGTGTTTTCACTTTCACAAAAGCAAATATTGATGAGATTAATTTCTGAATGTGAGGGTAAAGTAATCAGGAGTCTATGATGTTAACAGCAGTGGCATTGCATTTTCCTCACAGCAGTGTCTGTCGCTGCTATTAGATATAGTTTGTTCTTTAAAAAGTGAAGGGAGACTGGACTGGGGAACGGCTGTATATTGCCTTTTTGTGATACTTTTCCAAGTCTGAGAAAAGAACCCTGATGATATCTTTATCAAATCTCCTATATCAGTATTAACATACACCCTTTACATACATTGTTTGTATAGAGTTATGCAGTGATGACGTATTTTTGAAGGCCAACCCTGAATTTAGCATCGGAAAGGCTCCCTCAACAAAAAGCAATGGGATTTTTCTACAGTCCCGGCACCAGAGCAGATCTGCAGAGAGGGCATGTGATTTTCATGAGAGGGCCCACACAATATGTATGTGGCGCCATGGTAAACCGCTGACCACAACAGCAAACAAATGTACACAATGCAGAGGGACACCACATTGCAAACTAACCAGCAGGATTTACTTAAAGGACAGCTATCATGCTATATTTAAATGATATATTGTAGGGCCATACCTATATAAGGTATATTTATACGTTTCTGTTTTCAAAATACCAAACAGATCATGCATTTTAGCCATGCCTCATTTCGCTCTATTTGCTGTTCTCCAGCCCTGTTTTTGCAGGGGGCTGATTCTGTGAGCTGCAGCTGACCACGCCCCCCTGCAGGAGAGGGGAGCCGCTCTGATCAAGTCAGAAGAGGGGGAGAAAAACAGATCTCCGTCCTCCATGTTTTATTATATTATTATATCGAGTCGTTATTTATTGAGCTTTAAAACAAATGAATAACAAAGAAGACTTTTGACCGGCACTTTTCTAATTTTGTCCAGAAGATTTAAACTTTAACAGACATCTTGACCGGCGAAAGAAAACCTAACTGAAACTCTGCCGCACGGTCCCCTCGTTCCTTGGAAGAGGCGGAGAGGTGGGTGTTTGTCATCTGCTGGTGGACTAACCGGAGAGAATTACAGTGCTTGCCTCGACGGGGAGGGATTGCATTGAATTACAGCAGCAGGTCAGGAGCAAACGCTTGCCTCGGGGAGGGAGAAAAAAAAGCCACAGCGAATAAACAGAAGGGTAACCATGGCAACCATGCGCGGGAAGTCTTCTTCGCTGCTTTTGTGGCAGACTACAGCGCCACTTACAGGCCTGGCATATGTACTACAGCGTCTCCAGAGCGGCAATGGCCGGCCGTGGCCCAACCCCACATTCCCCTGATAAGTGGAGAGTTGGCCCAATAGCCGTAGCGCCACCGTCCTGACGTCAGGCCAGTGTTCAAATCTGGATCAGTTTTTATCAGATCCGTTGCAGCCCCTTTTTTAGAGATTTGGGTATGGAGGAAAATAGAGAGGGTTGTGTTTTCTGACATTTGGTGAGTTCCCTGGAACACCGGGGACACATATTCATGTATAAAAGACGTACAAAAGTGCATTTTGCATGATAGGTCCCCTTTAAACAGAAAATAATCTGCTCAGCGCTTGATGCTAATAAGCCATTTTCTGATGTATATTTTTTATTTAAAACAGAGAAGGCAGGCTACAGAATGCAAACTCAATAGAATTCTAGAATAGGCAGCAGAGGAGTTTTACAAACACACATTTGGTGCATGGTGTGTTCTGAACAGCAATTGGTCTAAATGTGAGCTCATCACAATTTACATACGTATTGGAAATATATATTTTTGGGGATTTGACTTAGGATCTAACCTCATATGTGACCCGCTCTATCGAAATCAGTTGGAAGTCGCAACGGCTCATTTCAAAATAAACGTGGATTTGTGTAAAAAAATATTCGGGGTTCGGGTGTTTTGTTTGATTTTAAACAAACAACGTCTTGGCTTTCAGAATATGAAACTTTTATTTTCAAAATCACACGATAAATACATTTTTGAAGCTGTAAAGGGAAGATGACAGCTCTCACTCGCCACTCTGCTGTTCCTCAGCGCAACTCCCCCTCCCTCCGGCTGAAATTATGAATGTAAGGCGTATAGTAATCATAGATAACACGGCAGGGTCCGTTACAGTTTGTTTTCATCTGATTTCAATTAAACAAAGTCTTGGCTTTCAGAATATTAAACTTGTTTCGGCAAAATCAGATGATAAATACAACTTTGAAGCTTGTAACGGCATAATTACAAGCGGAGTAACTTGACGTCACAGCAGGCATAACAACAGCCGGTGTTTCCCCGGGAAACAAACACAATACACACAAACGCAAAATTACACAAACACACACACGTATACACACACACACACTCGCGAGATTCCCCCAGACCAGTAATCCAAACGAAAATATCTTCCCTCCGTAGTATTTTGATCATTTGCTCCGCTAATAATCAATCAGATCGATGGATTCCAGAGAAGAGGAAACTTTAAAGGCCTTTTTCTCAAAATGATGACTCGGTGACAGTCATTATATAATGTGACATATTTCGCTTAATATATGGAGTACAAAAAGAATCCTGATATCATTAGAAAGCTAGGAATCTCCTCTTTCTAACAGTGTATTGTTAGAAGTATTCGTTGTTCTCGCGTCCAGGAGAGAAGCTTAGAATCAAAAGACTAATGCAGTCTCTGGTGAGGTTCAATTTGGTTACTTTAATTAAATGGCGTGGTGATACAACAAGTAGAGGGTAAGAGGAGAGACAGAGCAGCTGTTGCCTCGCCGGGTGAAGAAGTCCCGAGACAACGCACATCAGCTGGTTATATCTCCTCCGTTGGCTCCTCCTCAAGGGCCGGTTCGCGTTGCTGGGGGACGTCTTCAATATCCGTTATCACGCATAACAGAGGATTCAGACGTTGTACATTCATTGTATAGCTCCACACACCTCTTCTCCTCATACTCTCTTTCATGACTTTTTATTTGATGCATTATAACGGCTGTAAATAGACACTTTAGTAATACCAGAAGTGCTTTTCAGCAGTTATCATTTACGGCAGTTCTCATTTACTGTAGTCCCGGAAGTCGTCATATCCATAGATATATATAAACACTAGATGGCTCATGGGAGATTTTCCAGCGTAGCTCACCGGCCGCCATCTTGCTACAGTCAACAGCTACTCTGGTACGCGCTATGGTAGCTGTTGTAAGGTGAGTGATCTGCACAAAAATACTCTTAACTCGCTGAAATCGTGACTGATTTACAAACGGTTTGGTTTATTATAAACATTATTAGCATGGCTATGATCAGTGGCGTCGCCTGGCCTGGGCATCCGGGGCTTTAGCCCCGAATGTTTTTTCTGTAGCCCCGGACAATTCTCCCTCAATAATATAATACATTAACCGTGCTTTACGTGAACCTCATCATGACACAAGAGAGGACGGCAGCACTGTAATTTCCCGTGTTCAGTGAATGCAACAGAGGCATGACACCAGACCAATCAGAGAGTTGCATGGAAATAAACGTGTGCTTGTGTCATTCAAGCTCGGCTCTGTGTGTGTGTGTGGCAATAGCGCATTTAGTGTGATAGAGAGAGAGGGAGAGGGGGAGGGACCGGTATCAGCATGGACCGTGTTGTTAGCATCTGGTTAGCTAGCTGCACTAACGGACATAAGGAGCTGTTTGTTCCACAAGAAGCTGGAGGAGAGTCCTCTCCTCTCAGACTGAGAGACTCAGGTGAGCTAAAGGACTCTCTGAGTGTTTAGATACTTAACTTTAGTCTAAGTTATCTCAGTGGGTCACAAACGGTTTGGTCACAAATTATTCAAAAGATTATTTCCGCGGCACACCTTCATATGATCATTATAGTTATAAAAAAAATAAGAGAATAAAGGAAAAACAGTTATGAAATACTATATGGCAGTAAAACAAGAATAGAGTTTAAAAGGGGAGTGATTAGTAAAATATCCATAAAGAAAAAGTACATCTGTTTACAGTTCTGCTTCATATGGGTGTTGAGAGAGGTATCCATAGATCTCTTCATTTTGCTCTCAAAGTGCACCAGATTGATGCATTTAACTTAAATATTTAAAAAAAAATCTTCCCGGGGGAGCATCCCCCCGGACCCCCCCTAGAGGAGATGAGCCCCCCACTCATAAAAATACCACTTTAACCCCTGCCTATATGCCGTGAGCTGATTATCGAGCCTTCATTGTAACAGTCGCGGGTGTACTGTGTGGGGAGTGTTGCAGTGAAAAATGCCACTGTAGTGTCGCCGCCACTGTGGGCTAAGCCCTGAATGTTTTCAGGTCCAGGCGACGCCCCTGGCTATGATACAGGATGCTTGGACATGTTGAAATTGCAGCTTTTCTTTATGTATGTGTGGTTGTATTTATTAGCTGGCTAATAACAAGGGCTGTGAGTGAGACCTAGTATTACAAAGTTGACCCAGCAACTTTACACCAGTGGGAGAGGCAGAACTGCTCTTTCTTTTCAACATAACTTAAGTTACACATGATTTCTTGGTGGTTTGGCTTGTTAAAAACATCTTACATTTAGATACATTATGATACAGGAAATTGCTGGCTTTGTGTTTACAGAAGTACCTGACTATGCCGGACTTTTGTGCAGCCTACGGATGCTCTAATCGCCGCAGTCTGGAAACAAGAACCCGTGGAATCACCTTTCACGTGTAAGATATGACAATATTATGACTATAATTAGGATAATCGTTAATTACTTAGTGGATGTATGTACATTGCAAGTTCTGCTACACAGGATCAGTGGGGCTATGTGAGATAATAGTATTGCAAGATTGTTGTTGACCCAGCCTCTTTAGAATATGTTGCTACCATTTCTTTACACAATTATTTAATGTTTCTTTTGGACACCTTTTTTATAACTCTTAGTGTGGTTGTCTTATTCTTAAAGTATACATACATTACATACATACAATTACCCCAAAAATATGATAATTTCGGTGTGTATTTTTGTCCTTACCCTTAATGTTAAAGGAAAGAAGGGAGGAAAATGTTGACAATAATTGATATATCTGGCTACCTTTCTCATGTTTTTAAGGTTTCCCAAAACCGGAGAGAGGAGGAGGCAGTGGGAAGCTGCCCTAAGAAGGCAGGACACTGCTCTGCAGTGAGCACTTCAGTTGTGAGGACTTTGACAAGACGGGGCAGACTGTCCGGCTTAAAGATGGTGTTGTGCCAACAGTATTCAACTTCCCAGCTCATCTTCAAAGGGTATGTGTATCATTGGCCAACAAGAATTCAAGGTGTATAAGATTGATATATAAATATGTGATTAAATGTCACACTAGTTTTTCTTTCTGCAAGTTTAGGAATAAATAATGTGTTGTGTATTACAGCACATTTTAAACACTATTAATGTCTTTAATTATGTTTATTTTAGCCGGAAGCAACAAGAAGCACAACCACTTCTAGAAGAGCGGAAGATGAACCTCAGCCTAATGTTGTGAGTATTCTGAATGTGGCCAAGACCAGAGAGATGGTCATTGATTTCAGGAGGGTGAGGACGTCTCCTCTGCCCCTGTGCATTCTGGGAGAGGATGTGGCTGTTGTGGAGGACTACAAATACCTGGGAGTGCACTTAGACAATGGGCTGAACTGGAGGATCAACGCTGAACTGGAGGATCAACACTGAACTGGAGGATCAACACTGACGCTGTGCACAAGAAGGGGATGAGCAGACTCTGTTTTCTGAGGAAGCTGAGATCCTTCCACGTGTGCAGCAAGATGCTGGAGATCTTCTACCGGTCTGTGGTGGCTAGTGCACTCTTCTTTGCTGCGGTCTGCTGGGGGGGCAGCATCAGAGCCGGTGACACCAGCAGGATCAATAAACTGATCAGGAAAGCTGGGTCAGTCATCGACATCAAGCTGGACCCCTTTGAAGCTGTGGTGGAGAGGAGGACACTGAACAGGCTGTTGTCCATCATGGATAACCCCCCCCATCCTCTCCACCTGCAGCTGGACAGTCAACGGAGCTCCTTCTCCAACAGACTGCTGCAGCTCCACAGTGCCATAACTCTGTACAACAAATCACCTCTGGCTGGAAGATAACTCTCTGCTCCATAGTTTATCTTGAATATAACCACGTTGTACATTTTACACATATATAATCTGTTCAATATTTAATATTTAAAGGTGGGGTATGTAAGTTTGAGAAACCGGCTCGAGATACACTTTTTGTTATATTCCATGGAATGCTCTTAACATCCCGATAGCAATGAATATTTTAAGTGCTTTGCCAAAAAATCCATAAATAAATATCATCTGTGGAAGCCGTAGTACTGTAAAAAGCACGACCAATCATCTGAGCCGGCCCGGCTAAAATAACTGGATGGCCTACCTGCCTGTCAGCCTTCCATCTGTGCACAAACTTATCTCGTGCCCTCATTGGTCATGTGCACGTTCGTGTGTGTTGGAGGAGGGGCTCTGTAAGGAAGTAGCAGATCTTTTCCGGCTGTGTATTTTCAAATTCAAGCGCACTCGAGCTGGTTTCTCCAAAATTACCTACCCCACCTTTAACATTAATATTCCATATGCCTTATATTTATGTATATGTATATTAGATATATATATAATATCCTGCCAAACTCAACATGTATATTATTTTCCTCTTTCTTTCTTTTCTTATTTTTCTTGCTTATTTCTAATTTATTGTAAAATGCCTTGTCCCTTATGCTGCTGTAACTAAAAATGTTTTCCCAAATTGGGATCAATAAAGTACCATCTTATCTTATCTTATCTTATTTGCATGTGGAATGTCACTAACAAATGAGAGCATCATATGGCTTGTCATATTAAATCCTTTATCTCGGTGGTACTGAAGTAAAACAATATGATTCTAAACTGTATTGAAGTAAACATGTATTGTTTGAACAGTTTTAAGTAATCACATATATAGAGATTATATTCTCACTTACAACTCACTGACACAGAGATCCTGTTTCACACACACACAGCTCCTTTTCACCAGAGCGCACACACATGTTCTTTTCAAGGTTCTTTCTGGGCTCATTATATCTATGTACAATGTTTAATTGTCTGAGAGTAACAGTTTATGTGAAAGATGCCATGGGAAAGTAAGGGAGTGGATACCGGTGCAGAGATAAGATTGACTTTGACCTTGTAGAACCTTAGAATCTCACGTTCTGGTCAGAACTCTGATTCGCTGTATTGAACCCGACCAGAGGTGGATCCAACCAGTAAGGACACCTGGGGGAGTGAGCAGCTCACACAGCTCCTCCCCACGGACACTCTGATTCGCTTCGGAGTAAAATGGGAAGGAAGAGTCGACCCATCTCCGCCCCAAAATATGGATATGAATACTGTTGTTTTTGTATGAAAAAATACTTTTTGTTTGTGCTGAAAGCTGGTCTAGAGACGGTAAACCGCATCACAAACCTGAAGTCCGTACTTCTCGTTTTCTGGAAGCTGGTCTGTCTACCTGTAAACCGCATCACAAGCCTGAAGCCCGGAGTACTCTGTATAACTTGTATACGTGTTCTATTTCCTACCAGAGTAAACTCAGATAATTGTTATAACTTTTGATTCCGGTGTTTTCAATTCCTTTCTTTATTAAATAGAGATCAGCCTCATCCAACGAACGGCGCGTAGCAGAGGGGGTGGCTATCAGCCACCACAATAGGTGTTCTGCTCCAACAGTACCCAGGAAGGTCTATGATGGTGTTACTAGGAGAGCCCAATATCATTTGAGGTGGTACTCTGTGTAAAAAGTTTGAGAACCACTGGCCATCTCACTTGCTCTATGTCACTCATACACTTGAATAAACATGTGCAAACATTGAAACTACACCCAGGGGTTGGCAACCTTTACAATCAAAATAGCCATTTTTGTCCAGAGCCTCAAAACATATTTCTGCCTTATAAGGGGACAAGCCTATTAAGATCAATTTCTTAAAAGTACGCTGAGTTGTGTTTTCTGTTGGAGAATGTAAAACATTTTTAGGAGAATAGAAACCACACCAAGTTGTTGTTCTTAATAATAATAATACATTTATTTTGGGGGGCCGCCTTTCATAACACCCAAGGACACCTTACAGGGCATAGGGGCAATATAGGGAACAATTAAAACTGGATTTAGTGAGATATCAGCCAGGGTAAGACAAGACAAACAACAGTAAATGGACTACAGAAGGACACAAAAGGACACAGGGTACAGTTTATATTATTCTTGGGCTTTTTTCGACTACAAGAACTCAGCGCACCGTGCTGTGAAGTGGTAACGTATTTCAAAGGTTCTGGATTTGTTTACAAATCTAGAAACTAAATACAAAACTAGGACGATATGAAGATCTCATGTCAAAAATAATTGTGATAAATGAGACAGAACTGGCCTGTCTGTGAGCTCATTTTATGTTGGTTTGGTTCTTCTGATAAAGGTGTGAATATCTAAATAATATACCACCATATGCTATTGTCATTAGTTGTGTCCCTGTTCTTCAAGCTAAGGCATTGCTAAATTAACAACTCTTGGCTTACAGAGTGGTAACATGAGACCGATTTTTATATATAAAATATAAATATATATTAATTTTATAATTTATTTTAAATATTAACAATATAATAAAATAAATGGAAATATATACACCGGCAAATATTTAATATAAATACCTTGTGTGTGTGTGTATAACTATTGCTTTATCTATGTTATTTTCATATGAAAGTCCATGATTATAAGTATGCAGTATCATAACAACATATTTGATGTATATAAAAAACCAAACCGTTTGAAAATTGGTTGAAAATTGAGCAAGCTATGGTTATTTAAATAGTAAACCATAATGTCATGAATGAGAGCACTGCCTGTAGCAAGATGGCGGTCATGTGGCAACGTCGGTCTCCATTGGCCAGCAGCGCGGGTGAGTCATCTAGTGTTTATATATATCTATGGTCATATCTACCTACTTCTGTCAACAAAACTTTATTTAAATAAACTGTACCTTCATTTAATATTCAGCAATTATAATATCTCGACTGGTGTAGTGTTAAGATCAGTAGGTTTTGGTGTGCAACACTCCGTGTCATTTTCACTTTACATTCACATTTCTAGAAAACGTAATATTAGCTGTTAAATGCTAACCGGAGATGAAAGATTTTCAGAATAAAAGCTTGGCATTGAGATTTTACGAGAACTTCTGTTTTTTTCAGGATAAAACAGCTTTTAAACTGACGGTATGTTTTAGACTAAATTATGCTATAAAACATTGATTTCTAATAATATACAACTCAAAATGTGTCTTCGGGTCAATGCGACTGATTTCGATGGAGCAGGTCACATATAGATCCTAGCATTAGTGCAAAATGTTAAACACATTTCATTTGAGGGGGGTCAAAGATGGCAAATAGGAGGGCCTGGGCAGCTGTGTCTGATTTTCCATTTGATTTTGAAATTTTGCAGAAAACAAACTCCGAAGCAAACACACATGATACTTACGTGTTAAAGTGGACCTATTATGCTATATTGGAACAATATAGGGCCATACCTATACAAAACATGTCTGTGAAGTTCTTTGCTTAAAATACCAAACAGATCACCCATTTAGCCATGCCTCATACTGCTCATACCCCTCTTTTGCAGCCCTGTTGCAAACAGGCTGATTCTGCTAGCCACGCCCCTTGGTAGCGTCACGCAGCTTTCCCCTGCTACTGCTAGAGAGAGAGAGATTTCTACCAGGAGAAGCTCAGCTAAACGCTGCGGTGATTAAATGCCATGTTATGCTCCTAACCACTTCAAGCTTTATTTCTGAAACAGTATGGAGCTCAAACCTTTCTCTCTCGCAGGGTTTACCACAAGGACATTACGTTACACATATTCTCTCCAGTAGCCTACAGCGTTAGCTCCATGGTTAGCTCTGAGTGTTAGCATGCACACACAGCATATTACTCCCAAAACACGCCGCGCATTGTTTCTGATACAGCACATAGCTTGACATGTTCTTTCTTAAGTGTTTACTGCTAGAACAGTGCCATTATATGTATTATATATATATATATATATAACAACTCTACTATAAGCCTCCAGCAGACATCCTGCTGAATACACAGACAGACAGCTGCGACTGTATACGGAGACGATAGGTTGGGATGTGGGTATGGAGGAAAAGAGAGAAGGTTTTGTTTTCTGACACTTTGTGAGTTCCCTGACACACCAGGGACACATATTTATGTATAAAAGACATCAAAAAGTGCATTTTGCATAATAGGTCCCCTTTAAGTTCTGCAGGTTAATCTCCAGATATAACACCACTATTATGATATGATGAGTAAAAAGCTTAAGCTAAAGTTATGCTATACATGAAACGGTGGGTTACGTATTGTAACCCTAGTTCTATAAGCACAGGCGGAGCCCTCTACTGGACTCTATGGGTACTACTCTTCATCAATGATACGCGAGCGTTCACACTCTGAATTTGCATAAACGTAGCCGGCCAATCAGGGCGAGCCTACCTGAATGAGCGCGCAGGCCGCACAGTATATAAGGCAGCTACACCTCCTGACTGTCATCCTACACCCTCTTCAGCGAGCAGCATAGGAAAGACAGGGCCCCTAGGTAGAGGGCTCCACCTG